ATGTGTGTATATGTATATATATATGTATATATGTGTGTATATATATATATATGTATATATGTGTATATATATATATATGTATATGTGTATGTGTGTGTATATGTATGTATGTGTGTGTATGTGTGTATATATATATATATATATATATATATATATGTGTGTGTGTGTGTGTGTGTGTGTGTGTATGTATGAGCACCCCGAGGCGGTATAATGTTTGGCAAGCATGGTTCGTTAGATCAATTGCGACTGAGTAGTGAGTTCGTTCCTCACTGGGTGCCCCCTAATTTCGTCTTTTTGCCACGATATATTTGTATATATATGTATATGTGTGTGTATGTGTGTATGTATGTGTGTATATATATATATATATATATATATATCATTGTGCGTATATATGTATATATCTGTATCTGTCCTATTTTATTGTGTATGTATATTTATATTTAAATATATTTCTGTTTGTATGAATGTGTTTATATATTTGTATGTTAGGGTATATGTATATTGGTGTGTGTTGGTATTTGAATGTATATTTCTGTATGTATATGTAAGTACGTTTATATATGTATTTAGTTGAGTTTTGTTGTATTTATATGTATGCATGTATATATTGGTAGTTGTTATTATAGATAGATATATTTATATATATGTTTATTTGTAGATATGTATGTATGTGTATGTGTGTATATATATTTATGTATGTTTGTGGATGCATATGTGTGTGTTGGGACCTATTATGTATGAGTTTGTTTGTGTGTATGTGTGGGTATGGAAACTTTATTATGTCATTACTGCCACAGTAGTTAGTCTATGTGTATATATATGTTCATATATGTATTGGTGTATGTATGTATATTGGGGCATATTTTTATATATGTGAGTATGTGTGCATAAAAATGTGTGTATATATGTGTGTATTTATGTTGATATGTATATGTGTGTGCATGTGTACTTGTTATCATAGATATGTATATGTGCGTATATGTCTATGTTTATATATTTATATGTTTGTATTTCTGTATGTATATGTATGTATGAGTGTATGTTTATGTGTGTTAATTTGTGTTTCCTGCCGCGTGTATATATATGTATATGCGTATGAATGTACACTTATTTCTGTGGGTTTCTTTATCCTGTTTTTCTTCGCCTAATATATAATGAAACTATTATCAACTTATATGATTAAAATATATTTTTATTGATATTTGTGGTTTTGGAATTTTTGTTTTAATATATTAAATAATATTATTTTTAACCAGTTTTATCTTTGTATATTTGCTCCCTTAAGTTATAATTTAATAAGTGGTTAGCATTTATTTAATGATACTTTAAGTCTTAAATATTTATTGGTTGTGGTATCTGATTGTCTCGGTCATTGTCTGTGGATGTGTGTACGTGTATCTATCGGTGTCGATGTGTATGTAGAATGCATTCACATTTAATTGTGTGTGTGTATAGGTGTTGGTTTCCCCGTTTCCTTTTTTCATAAAGGGTTGTAGTGATGTTCCTGTCTCGTCGCCTTTTCTTTTCTTTCCCTTTTTTTTTTTTTTTGTATATATATATATATATATATATATATATATATATATATATATATATATATATAAATATGTCTGGGTGCTTATGTATTATAATCTGATTGTGTTTTTGTTGTTTTGCGCGTGAGTTTAAGACCACATTCACACACTTTAGAATAAAAAATATATATACATGTATTGTCAAATGACCGGATATATTGTAGCGTCTTGTAGAACGTAATTTCAACGAAGAAATAAATTGAATAGACATACATATTTTATCTTTTCTCAATAATTTTGTAGTTTTTAAACTTAATAGTGATTAAATTTGAATTTTAAAATTGCCATTTTTTAATTTTAATATAAAATTTTATCATATAATTTTATAATTATTGGTTAGTATAAATTATTTTTAATATTACACGTATTTTAAAGATCTGAATAGCTATTATAACATGATTTCGTTGTCAAGCATTTGAATCATTCTGTACTTGGTTTTTGATTGGTTATTCTAGCTTTTGTAACAATGTTTCCCCCTAGTGTAGGATCGTTAATTAATTTGAAACTTTTAAAACCATTTATATTATCTTCAACATCATCACTTGATAAGACACCGAGGTGTTGAAACAAAATGGCTATTTTTGTAGTGATTTTATAGCATACTTATGTTATAATTTTTTATAAAAATTTATATATAATAATATATATATATATATATATATATATATATATATTAAGCCTAGCTGAGATGTGGCACAATGCAGAAAGTATGAGGCATCTAGTTAGGATCGAACTCATTACTCAGTCTTAACTCCTAGATAGAGTCAAAATTGCTAACCATATCAAAGTAGACGAGAAAATAGAAACAAAAGAAACTTTTGATTAACATCAGGAAAAGGTAGTTGAAATTTCTCGGGCACATAATGAGGAAAGATGGCTTGGAAAATCTGATACTCAGAAGACAGATTGACGTAAAGACGAATAGAGGAAATCAGCGCGTAACATACTTGGTGAGGTTTAGTAAATAGGTAAGAGATTTTGGGAGAAATAAAGAAAAAAAGTTACAAGGGATAGGAAGATGTGGAGGACCTTGATCTCCTACGTCCTGAAGGGACACAGCACATAAAACAATAATAATTAGTAAATCATTATTATCTGTAAAAATTTGTAAAAATATTTTCTAGATTTAAAATAACACACGAAAGGTTGATAGACCGTAAAAAACAAGAAATCAATCAATTCACTCAGAAACGCAAACAGAAAAAGTCGTTGCTTTATAGATAAATCAGAATTTTATTTTATTTTATTTATTTTTCACAATAGACGAAACACCATGTTAAGATACTAAAAACTTCCGCAAGCTTAATCAATCAATGACTTGCAATCACATGTGAAGCATTTTTAATCGAATCTAATTCCTAGATTGCACTTTCAAATAACACATTTTTAAAACAAAGAAATCTTTCAAAAATATAGGTCTGAGAAAGAAAGCTTCAAAAGTTAAATCACGTAACCTACCCAATCCTCGCCGTCTGCGTCTCTGTTGGCGAGAGTAGAGTACATCTTGACTTTGCCACCAAAAGGAATTCGAAAGAGTTTTTATCGAAAATTTAATTCGTTGATTGAAAATTACTTCCAAATGATTACATGGCAAACATAAATATAAAAAGAAAAACGTAAGTATAAGAATTCATCAGAAAAAAAATACGGCTATATACACGGCTCATATATATATATATATATATATATATATATATATATATATATATATATAAAGAGAGAGAGAGAGAGAGGGAGAATATGTTTGTATCTCAAGGAATACATTCCAAAATTTGTTACAAAAATATTTTGTTTTTATTTTCACACGATGATTTTTTTTTATTTCTTCAATGCTTTCTTTATATTGTCGAACTGCTTTGTGGGTAAATTAGTTGCACATTTCATCCCAGATAAAGAATGGTCGGTGTTCTGGCGTAAGGAAAATACCAAGATTTCAAATGCAGATTTTCAGGGAAGACGATTGAAGTCGTTTTCTACGACTCGTTGACTAATAATTACTGCCGCAGTATGCTTTTAAAAAGTGGGTGATGATGGCTATTCACAACTTCCTATCTTATTGTTATTCTCAGTTCATGTTCCGCCATTCATTTCGAAAAACTAGTTTGGCTTTATCATTTGATTTGATTTATCCGTTTTATAGGGATTATCAACCTTTTACAGTTCATTTGATTGTATCAATTTTTTTGAGATAATAATGATTTAACGATACAAGTTCACTGTTTAATCCATAAATGGAAGAAGGAGCGATATATTCATATCTATCCCAAGGCTTTTGCCCCTAAGTGAGTATAAGTAACTCTACGGAAATTGCAACTCAGCACTTAAAAATTGAAAATCAAATTTGTCAGATTCATGAATGTTTTTTTTACTTTTATTTTGATTGATTGATTCGTTGTCACCGATTTATCAACCCTTTGGGGATTATTTAAAGCCAGACAAAATTTTTAGATTGTAAGATTTTTTACGTAATAATTCTTTACTGATACAAGTCTTACTAATTAATCCATAGCTGGGGAGAAGAGGTAGATCCATATATTTCCCAAGGGTATTTGCCCGTAAGTGAATAAACGGATTCAACGGGAATTGGAACGGAACACTCCGATTAACCATTACACCAGCCGCACATCCAAGCTTACGGCGCCTGCTTTGGTAATATTCAACCGCGTTCAATGTTCGCTTTCTGATTTGTACAGCAATTAGGCCTTCCATACTTGCAGCTTTGCCGCAGCATTGTTTTTTTTTTTTTGTTTTTTTTCCAGTATCTCGTTGAACATATCAGTGCCTGTAAGAGTTCTGGGATTGCAAAGGAAATATTTGTCGCAGATTACTTCCACAAAGCAGAGAACAAATGTGTAAGTTCAGACTCGAATATCAGGGGAAGAAAGAAAATGACAAAATCTCGATTCGCAGGTACTGTGTCACAAATCACAATGCACGTAACCAGTCAGAAAAATAACTCACTCCGTGAGGACTGTGTTAGCCAAAAGACACGATCTTTCTCACTTTCTACACGATTTGAGAACACCAACTGCATTTATCGACCGAGCATTTTTTTCGTTCGTCGACATTAGGTGAGGACGCACAATATTAGCATATCAGGAATATTTTTATGGTGACTCCTGTGACTGACTTGATTCTAATTTAAATATTCAGTCTTCAGCATATTATTCAGAATACATTACCTTTTTTCGGTAAGTTATTTACATGTGACAGGATATCGCTTGGTTTGACGAGGTAATTCGCCGTTTTCTTCGCTACAGTGCCGTAGCATGTATTTGAAATGGTTGATTCCTTTTTCTGTGTGTTATATCCCTCAGAAAGTTGATGATCAAGTAAATATAACGAACCCAACGGGAATTGAAACTCAGCTCACCGATTAAAAATTGCGATCCATTATACATTACACCACGTGCACACCCCGGTTTACCACACCTGATATTCCCAAGTGGTTACCCATTTAGGTACTGACAAGGCTCGACGTTTCTTAACTTCTCTGATCATACGGGGATCGGTGTTTCAAACTGATGTGGCCGTAAGCCCCAAGCATTACCAATGGTATATTACTGAATCATCAAAGGTATCTATTACGTTGACAACACCATAAACAAGAATCAGGCCTACTGAAAGACGTCATAACCACCATCAAGGATAGAAAGTTACAATGGTATGGCCACGTCATAGGAGCCAGTATCTATCATTATTTCTGACATGAGCTATTATGTACACTATTTATATTATTCGGACTATTCTCCTCATTTTTGTCGTCATATTTGTTACAACGTTTCGGCCTTTCAGTATCTGTCTATATTTCTGAGATGAAGTTATGTACACTATTCATATTATTCGGACTATTGTCCTCAACTTTGTCGCCATATTTATTACAACGTTTCGGCCTTTCAGTGTCTATCTATATTTCTGAGATGAGGTATTATGTACACTATTTATATTATTCGGACTATTGTCCTCATTTTTGTCGCCATATTTATTACAACGTTTTGGCCTTTCAGTGTCTATCTATATTTCTGAGATGAGGTATTATGTACACTATTTATATTATTCGGACTATTGTCCTCATTTTTGTCGCCATATTTATTACAACGTTTCGGCTTTTCAGTATCTGTCTATATTCCTGAGATGAAGTTATGTACACTATTCATATTATTCGGACTATTGTCCTCATTTTTGTCGCCATATTTATTACAACGTTTCGGCCTTTCAGTGTCTATCTATATTTCTGAGATGAGGTATTATGTACACTATTTATATTATTCGGACTATTGTCCTCATTTTTGTCGCCATATTTATTACAACGTTTTGGCCTTTCAGTGTCTATCTATATTTCTGAGATGAGGTATTATGTACACTATTTATATTATTCGGACTATTGTCCTCATTTTTGTCGCCATATTTATTACAACGTTTCGGCTTTTCAGTATCTGTCTATATTTCTGAGATGAAGTTATGTACACTATTCATATTATTCGGACTATTGTCCTCAACTTTGTCGCCATATTTATTACAACGTTTCGGCCTTTCAGTGTCTATCTATATTTCTGAGATGAGGTATTATGTACACTATTTATATTATTCGGACTATTGTCCTCATTTTTGTCGCCATATTTATTACAACGTTTCGGCTTTTCAGTATCTGTCTATATTTCTGAGATGAGGTACTATGTACACTATTTAAACTATTTGGACAATTGCCTTCATCTTTGTTGCCATATTTGTCACAATGTTTCGGCCGTTGTACGCTCCGGTCTTCTTCAGGTGGCTGGAATGTCGAAGTGAACCCTTTATTGTTTGATAATGCCTAACACTGCATCATTTATGGTGTTGTCCATGTAGTAGATACTCTGGATTGTTCAGTAATATCCAATTGGTAGTGCTTTGGGCTTACGAAAGACCGATTCCTGTATGATCAGTGAAGTTAAGTACAGATAAATAACTCATAACTATTTGGGTTCTGTCACTGGTTCTAACCAACGCCTTTATCCACTGTGCCATGTGTCCTTAATATGCGTTGATTAGATCTAGGGACAGGACCCAAAGAGTGTGAGTTTAATACCTGGCTATGTCAGTGGTGAACTTGGAGAGATGAATTAACAGGAGATAACTGATAATTAAACATGGCACGTGGAAGCAGAATAGTCTACCTCAGCAAGTGAAATAAATGGTTCAGTTCGGCATTTCTGTTGCCATCCTATAAGGTTCTATATTAAACAACATGACAGGTCTAAAAGTCAAAGGAATCTATCTCTTATGGATAAATTTCGGTTTGTATTCAAGAAGAGTTAATCCCGGAAATTCAGAAAAGAATAAATTATTAAAACATTCGCAAATTCACCATGATATTCTTATCATTTCAACTTCTTATATAAGAATACTTACGCTTTACTTTGGCAAATACTTCACCAAGAAAATGACTTATTCCCCCTTCTTGGGCTAAGGTTCTCAGCTGACATGAAATGGAAAAACTATACTGAATCCGTCAGCTGCTAAGAAGCTCTGTTCACTGTGTCGTGGGCGACAATGTTTCTCTTCCGAATCTATCTTACGTATCTATAAGTCTACCATTCGTCCATGCTTAAATATTGCTGCCACATATGGCCCGGTGGCTTTGCTGTTTACCTTGAGCCCCTTGATAAGATTCAAATAAGAATAAGGAATATTACTGGTCCTGATCTGGAGGATCGGCTCCAGTCACTTACCCACCGCCGTAAGGTAGCCTTCCTGTGCCCTTTTTTATAAATACTTTCATGGTAATTATTCGGGTGAGCTGTGCGTTATTGTATCTAAACTGTCTGAATTTAAGCACGGCTGTAGACTGGCGTCGAGATCTCATCAATTTACTGTTCAGCTGGCTAGATATAGCCGTAAATTCTATGCTATCAGTTTCTTCCCTCGCACTTCTCGCGTGTGCAAGTCCCTTCTGCCTCCATGCATTCCAGCCAACTTTAACCTGGAAAGATTTAAATGCAATGTTAATTGATATCTACTTTCCTTCTGATTAATCTTTTCTCTCTGTGATCATTAATGTTTCTGTTCCTAATTCCTCCAAACTATGTTACCCCTTGCGGTTTTAGCTGCTTCGCTACCTTGGCTGGGGTTATATCAATTTGAAAAATAAATATAAATAAAATGCCATTTATAAATATACTTCCTTCTTGATTATTTGAAACCCTCTCTCTAAATTTAGAAACAATTCTCTGAATTTCACGAAGGAAATCTTGAATCAGAATGGTATCCTCCAAGACTGGGGTTGTATCACTCATTAAGGCACTATTGAAACAAAATTATACCCCAAGACCCTCATACATACAGAGTCATCTCAAATGGATAATTTATGGTAAAGGCACTAACTAACATTGTTTTAATTAAGCTCTCATCATTTTATGAACGTCAAAACCAGTTTGGCCATCACTCTGGTAAGGTGAGTGACAAGACACACGAAGATTCGGTAGTACGGCTCCTGCCAAATACACTGTAGCATGTCTTGCGTAACATTCTCCAGCGCCTCAGTGGAGCCATTTCAATGAGTATCAACCAGGAAGATGGTAGTCACGGTGATAATGACAATGTGCTCTTGGAATGGACACCACGTTCATCTGACTTGACACCTTGTCATTTTTTCTATTGGCCTATGTGAAAGGACAGGTCTATATCCCACTCTTCTTACAAGCTTTAAGAAAACAAAACATCCCTGAGGCACCGCCGAATGTTACGCAATATGCTACAGCGTGCTTGGCAAGAGCTGGACTACCGACTTGACGTCACAGGTTGAGAGCATTTTGAACATATGTGAAGCTTGGGAAAATCGGCTATAAATCTTGTTCAAATGTTGAGAAATAAATCTTTCATTACTCAACATGAGGTCTATTTAATTTCGGTTGCCTGCAACATATATTTACTCAGATATCCACATTTCATATGATGTAAATTTATTGGTGACAACCTGTACAATGTCGTTCTTGCTTTCTGTGATTAATTTCATAATCAAGTCATTTAGATTTCTAGTGTTAAAAGCAGCAGTGATTAAATCTATGGACATTTCTATCTGATTTTATAAACATTATAAAAATTACTCTATTTTCATTTCCATAGCAACTGTTCAGATGAGATCTATTGTATTGTCTCGCCAGTTCAGGCTTGTAAAAACATGCTAATGACACAGAGTTAAAACAGATACATTTCCACGCTGTTCCTTATATAAGATGATACTCCCGTCATTTCCGAACTTGTACAACTAAAGCCATACATTTATGACCTTGTACACGTAGTATATATTTTGAAGGCACTGTAACATCTATATTCTAGTGTTTGGGATTTACACCGGTTCCCATGCGATAACTGAAGTTAAGCACAGACGAGACTGGTCAGTACCTAGATGGGTGACTTCCTGGGAATACCAGGTGCTTTAAGCTTGGATTTTCTTCTGTTGTAATGGATAGAGTCTCAGAATTGGAATTCCGAGATCCGGGTTCTAATTCTAGTCGGGTTCGTTATACTTACGCTCACATACTCTTTGGGATGTTATGGATCCACCTCGTCTCCCCTAACAATGGGTTAATTAGTAAAACTTCTATCACTAAATCATTATTAGCTAAAAAATTCTCACAATCTAAAAAAGTATTTTTCTGCCATTAAATAACCTAAAAGGGTTGATAAGCTGTAGAAAACGAATCAACCAAGCAAGCAATCAAATGTTGATAAAATGGATGATTATCTACCCAGGTATGACTTTTTAAAATTATTTATATTCTTTGGAATATAAATGTACAGAAACTACCGTGGTCAGGAAGTGAGTGATCAGTTTATATATAGATTGTAATAGAGAATGTATCCCCTACTTTATGTCCACATTATTTCTTCATTTTTTTTTAACAAATTCTGATTATGTATGAATCCACCTCATCACCCCTCCAGCTATGGGTTAATTAGTAAGATTGTATCACTAAACTATTATTATATCCAAAAGTTTTTTTCGTAGAATATAAAAATATTTCTGGCTTTAAATAACCTGCAAAAGGTTGATAAGCCGTAGAAAACGAAGCAATCAAACAAAATAAATGTAAAATAATATCATTTTCATGGAACTGACAAATATAGATTGTTTAAATGAAATTTGATATGTCGCATGAAATGTCATATCAATAACGGAATTAAAGACAATTTTAAGAAATATCATATTTTATTTACCATTTCTTATAACCGCGCCTTTGTTCTTTGTTGCTTTTCTTTAAGTACAAATAACAATAATGGTTAAATTATAACACTCACGATGTTCATTTGACTATCTTCGGAAGAAAAATGTGTACTTTGTATTGTGGCATAAAAAATTTTCTTAGTTGTTATTGATAAAGCGATTCTTCCTTAAACGTCTTTCAACTGTTTGTTCATCCTCCTATTCTCCTGTTATTACATATCCTATCATCGGAGTAATGTTGATGTCATATCTGTTGTTGCTGATTGTTTTGATCACGGGGATCAGCATACCCCTTTGAATAGCCAGATGCATCACTCCTTCATAGTCAGCCTATGAACTTTTTCAGCCCATTCTCGTACGTTGAAGACTTCTTTGCAAAGTCAGAATATTTCTTTACCTAGAAAGAAATAATGCAGTTATTGCTCTTGCCCCCATGTGCAAACTGTCACCGTGTTGAAGGGCCTGTAAGGGTCCCAGCTATGGAAAATGGAAAACTCCCACATAAAAACAAAACACTATAAAAGTATAAAAATACATAACTTTCATTACGTTAACCCACATAATATCCTACAACTTCAATAAAACTACAACACTACAACTTAAATCCCCGCCTCTAGTAATTGTGTCGACACAAATATGTATATGCACAAAAGCTGAGTATCATTTACCATGTATTCAACTGTGAAAGCAGAATAATATATCGTATTTTTATCATTTCGAAGCAGTTAAGAATATTAAATTTCAGCATAACATGACACATAAGTAGTTGATATGCCGTTAAACAGGCAAATCAATCAGTCAATAAATAACGACTCGGAATTTGACGTCGAAGTGATGTTAAAGTCCTGTTCGTTATATTACATCGGTGCAAAAATAATGACGTAATAATGTCGTTTTTTGACGTAAAAACGACATTATTACGTCATTATTTTTGCACCAACATAATATTAACTTTCAAATAAATACTCTTGGTAAAATATGAATAAACATCTTTAAGCCCCCAGCTATGGGTTAATTAGTAGTAATTTTATCAGTAAATGATTATTGTCTCAAAAAAATTCTTATAATCTAAATTTAATATCTTGCTTTAAATAACCTGAAAAGGCTTGATAAACCGTAAAAAAAAAAAAATATTTCAATCAATAATATTCAAATATTCCCAGCTTTAGGAATTCTTTTTTACTTGTTTGCCATTTAAAGTTCACATCCACCAAATAATTTGCTCAACACTGTCAATTACGTGATCGGGCGGAAATGGCAATGACTTTATTTCGATCGGGTTTACGAGCAGCTAAATGACTCGATTCTCTCATTTAAAAATTCCAATGTCAGGCGTAATCGGCAATTAATTCATTTTCGTCGTCGTTAATTCAGTTCGCTTAAAGTTCATTCTTCTTGAAAACAAGAGAATAAAAACTACCAACACCCGATTAGTTCGTTCTTTGACAACCAAGCTTCACGCCGTTGAAAAGAATGCAATCTCTTACTTAATAAATGTATCAATAACGCATTTTGTATTGTAGTATAGATTGTTTCCAGGGAAATGTAATGGCTTCTCGAGAAATTGTTCCGAATAATTATCTGCATCTATTCAACAGAACACGAAAAGGAGACAGTGACATAGCAGTCAATTACAGATAAAGATACTATTTAATATTCATGAATGAAGAGGTAGAAAATCCTGATTAGCACATCCTACAGAAAAAAAAAATTGTGTTTTAAAATAGCGCGAAATTTAAGAAGCCCGACACGCAAACACACGGAATAGGTTCGATCCATGTTAGATCACACAATATTGTTTTGGTTGTTTGATTCATTTTAGCCCTTTGAGACCTGGCCGCCCATTGATCACTGGTAACGTAGAAGAGGTAGTCAATGGCTAGAAGTGAGTCAAGTGAATTCCACAATGAATCTCAAACTGCAGGATATCTACCAACCGCCCCAAGCGGTCAGATGTTTCACAAGGCCGAATTTAATGGGGGTATCCGGATCCGTAGGCCCAGCCAAAATTCTACGTAGATCCCTTTATAAACGGGGTCGGATAGCTGTTGCCAGATGAGACTCTGCCCTTTGACATAACCTCGTCTGGGGATCCACTATACCGGAAGGCAGATAGTTTGACCAGCACAGCTGTAGACGAATCTCCAACTAAATGACCAACATACAGTATCTACTACTGTATTTATGTGAATGGAGATATATCCATTATCGTCGGTATGCTACAACAGAGGGAATATGGAGTAAAAACCGTGTCAAGAGAGAAACCATTCTTTGACACATCATTTTATGGGTACTTTTATTAAACATTGCCGATTGTTTTAGGCTTGCGTTAACGATAAGTCGAAGTGGGTGTTTGAGGTCATAAAGCAGGTAGCAATATATTCTTGAGCCATATGTTGACCTCTCCTAAGCGACAACATTTATTAACCTGTTCTGTAACCCAGTAAATACTGTACTAACAACTAGGTGCAGATAGAGGAGGAGAGTGCCTGGTTCGTGATAGGGGTGAGATTCACAGTTTGATATGCCAATAAAAACGGGTGTGATACCTTATGTTTAGGAATAAATGCGGTTAGTGGTGGGCCAATGGCTATTTCTATATGGCGCCATGATGACTGTTCTAACATTTACTGATTTTGTGAATGCATATATAGAGCCATGTTACAAAAGAATCCAAATAATTCCAGAAGGAAAATGATTTTCCTGCCTGACAATGCTCCGCCACATTCGGTTAAGTAAACGAATGAATAACATTTCTATCAAAAAGAATTATTTGATGAAGTGGCCGGCTTATTCGCCCGATGTTAAACCGACTGAAAACATCTAGAGCATTCTGAACAGAAATATTTACATTAGCGGACTGTAATTTTCTAGAGAAGATTAACTTTGGGATGCTATTCAGAATGCTGGGCAGTTTGTTTCTTCAAAAGAAAGAAAACGCGTAATTATACCAATGGCCGAAATTTATCTAAAACTAGTTTCTGAAGAGATTTGTAGAGATTTAGCATTGATGTGTTCTTAAGTATGTCGTCATTACATTAACATTGTTGCCATGTTTTCTTATTTAAAATATTTGTCTTTGTGAAATATTCTAAAATAATATGTTTTAATTGCAACATAATGCACCTTGAGTTTCAATAAAATGTCATAGAACGCGAATTTTGAAAAATCTCGTAAAGTTCATTATTTGCCGATCGTAAATACGGCGCGTTATCTACTGTAATATATTCTTCTTTGTCTTCTTCTTCTTCTTCTTCTTCTTCTTATTATTATTATTATTATTATTATTATTATTATTATTGTTACTGAAAATGGAGTAACCTTTCAGCTGACAATATGTCTGATACTAACTTCGAGCGAGTTGCTCTGCATAGAAATAAGTGGTGACATTTTTACCAGAGTGGTAACAGGTCACTATCGAGGCTGAAGTGTCACATATGAAAAAAAAATAAAACTGATGAAGTTGTCGGGTGCTTATCCGTGGACAGGAGTGTCCATGGTACATATATATATATATATATATATATATATATATATGTGTGTGTGTGTGTGTGTGTGTGTGTGTGTGTGTGTGTGTGTGTGTGTGTGTGTAAAATATATAAAATATATAATATACATAAAAAAACGAAAGAATATTAATCTAAAACCCAGTGTCCCTAAAGATTTTAATTTTTTAATATTTTATTATTGTTGAAAAAATATATATATATATATATATATATATATATATAACATTTGGATTGGATATTTAATAACTTAATTACCCTCCCTGATATTTGCATCGTGATATTAAATCGTACAGTACATAACCGTTGTATTTTTCACCTTACAGCTAAAAGATTTAACTTTCAGATGAACACAACAACTTTTGTCTTAGAAAAAACAAAACCCTGTTAATGACATTGTGCTGATGTTGAAAGTACTGAGAATAAATGGATAAGTATCAACATGGTAATTTTCTCTCTTCTTCTAATAATGATTCTAAGAATGAGGTCCGTGAATATGAGATGATCCTATTGAAAATAAGTAGGCAAAACTTCTCTAAATTATTTATGAGGCATGTCTTAATGAAAATATTCTGCCAAAGTATACGCAATATATATATATATATATATATATATATATATATATATATATATATATAGAGAGAGAGAGAGAGAGAGAGAGACAGACAGACAGACAGACAGACAGACAGAGAGATAGACACACAT